TCAGAGTCAAAAAATGCTCCTGCAAAAGATGACAGTGCCATTTTTTGACATGTGCTGGCGTCAAACTACTGTTAGTTCTCAGCGGTGACACATGCATTTTTCTTGAAGTGCAGGAGTTTTTCCAGCACTGAACAAGTGTCACTAACATTCACTTGAGCAACAGAACAGCTTTGATAGAGTCTATGCTCATTAGCTTTTTCTCTTCACTCCAAACACTCTTCGAAGCCTTCATTCCACGAGGGTCTAGAGCTGGGTGAGTTACAGATTTTCAGTTCACCAACAATTTAAAAAAATGTTTTGGGTCAAACTAAAATAAAACTTGTTCTTAAATTTTGGCAAATTGAAAAGTGGAAAAGTTTGTTTTGGGTCAAATGAAATGTTTTGTTTCGATTTTGATCATTTGATAATGATTTTGATTTGTAAATAAAATTAAAGGAAGTTTTGAAACAAAATGTCATTATGAAGCAAAAGATCAAAACATTTTGTTTTGAAAAAGTCAGAATGAAATGTTTTAAATTTTTTCCGAATATTTTGTAGGTTTTGTTTTGTTTTGTTTTACCACAGCAACTTCGTGAAACCGTCATAAATTCACAAAATGTTTTGGTGTTGCCAAATCTGCAATTTTTGCCAAAAAAGTTTCAGATGAAAAACTGTGACCAACTCTAGGTCTCCACCTTCCCGCATGGATAAAGGCAGGATCCGCTACTTTACAGCCCCCTCCTTCCTATCTCCAGACCTGCTTATAGGGATTAGGTGGAGCTGGTAGGATGGGCATTGCCCTGTCTGTAATCTTGAAAGGACTATTGAGAAAACTCAACACAGCCTGACGCTATATTAAGTGTTGTGCTTAGCTCCTTAAAGGTGGAGTTTCCAGGGGTAATCACAGGCTGGAGATGGCAACAATGGAGTTGCATTGCAAGGGCGGCAGGGAAAACACTGTGCTGCAGGCCGAGTGAGATACCCTTTTGAGGCTCCCTGAGGTCAGTGTAGAGGGTCTGTAGTGGGGCTGACCCCCTTGCTTCTTCTACAACACAGCAAACCTGCAATCCCAATCAAAGAATTTGGAGGCGACCCCCCCCCCCCACATGCACAGCTGTACACACATGGAGTTTCTTGCAGAAAGCAGTGACCAGGGCCCAAGTATAGACTTGAGGATTTGACCCATAGAAACTAAACTTTGCTCTAAGCAAGTGAGGAGGCTGTTCAGCCTGTTTTCCTTTAAATAGCTCACTAACAGCTGCATAACTCAGGGTCATTGTTAAAAGGCTTCAGCTCTTGAAGGGCTCTTGAATGAAAGGTAGGTACGTGGTTAGCAAAATTATACCTTAACCTTGGCAACAACAAAAAATAATCCATGGATACAGTTCAGAATTTACAGATTAACGCAGGAGGGTATAATTAAAAGGGTGTTGTGGACTATGCTGATCGTTTCAAATCAGGATAAGGGTTTAATGTGGCATATTTCTTGGCCTCACAGATAATTTTCTTGTCTACAGTCCTATTCTGTTAAGGTTATTGTCTTTCTAGTATGTCCTCTCTTTGTGTGTAAACCCACACACTACTACAGATAAAACTGCACTCTTCCATTGCTCTTCAAAATCTGGGCTTTATTGGATAGTTGAATAAATATACTTGTTTTGATTTCCTGTGACACAATCCTTTGTTGATCATGTAGTTTACTTTAATTGTTATGATGGATATGTATATTTTGACAAGTGTGAAGATGGCTATGAAAAGTGAAGACACTTGGTTATGAGTAAGGGAAATACATTAATCAGTGTTTATAGACACATACATATAAATACAGGGTTTTATGTGTAATTTATATATAAATGTCTGTGTTAAAAGAACATTATTAAGGGTGATAGTCAAACGCAGAAGTTAGGAAATGCCAAAGTCATGGTTGCCCAGGAAACTTTAATTCGACCCTCTGGTATGCATGCATTAACAATCTTTAATTACGTGATCACATACTGTTTTTCCCACAGGAGGACTCTTGTCTCGTGCACGAGATGGTTTATGCTCACTTAAGTCTTGTCTGCATTGATGGTGGTGTGTAGGGTATGTGTAGCTACATACCCAGGGAAAAGCAGGCTGCATTCATGGTACAGTGTGTACCTATACGCGGCAGTGAAAGGCTCTGGCAGCAGGGAGGCAATGGAGAAACTGCCAAAGCCGTTTCCCTTCTGCCTCCCTCCACCAGGCCTTTGCTCACTGCTGAAATCTTTCCCTGCTGCCTCCCCCGCGGGGCCAGAGCCTTACTCACTGCCAGAGCCTTTCCCTGTGGTAGGGAAAGGCTCCGGCAGTGGTTAGACAGTCGAATGCTACACTGTTAAAAATAGTGTAAATGAGGATGGCACTGCTTCAGCATGTAGAGAGCCATGTAGGGTACATACCTACTGGGTTCAGGCATGTCTTTACTTGCCTAAGTAGTGCCTTGACATCTACACTGCTTTTTATACCCCTGCCTGGGGGGCAAGTAGCGTATGTTCTCTGTATGCCATCGTAAGTGTAGATGTGGCCTTAATGAGCAGCTATTCATTATTTTGTTTTCTCCTCATCATTCAATGTGTGGCAAATGCCTTATTTACTGCACTCGATTCAAACCCTATTCTGAATACAGAATTATTAATTTCTTCATGGGCTTTTCAGTGCTGCTCATTAGTATAAGACTAAAGTGCTTCACTAGAGCTGGCTGGAAAACAGAAATTCCCTCATTGTGAAATGTTTTACATTTTAGAAAAAATCCTGAGGAAGATATCAATGCTGTTGAATCAGCATTTTCTCACAGAAAACTCTTTCAGAAAATTTTCAATCAGCTCTATGCGTCACAATCATTAATGAATTTATTTTCACAATATCCTTGGTAGATGAGAGGGTGGTATTATCCCCATTTTGCAGATGGGGAGCCGAGGCATGGAGATTAAGGTCAAAAGTGTCCACTAACTTTAGGTGTCCAATTTCAGACAGTTAGGATCTGATTTTTTAGAATATTTAGCATTATATAGCACTTTATATATTCAAAGCACAACTCCCACTGACTTCAGCTGTGAGAGCTCACTGCTTCTGCAAATGAGACTGCGGGGTCTCAAGTCAGGCACCCAGAAAATGAGGAACACACAGTTAGTGATCACCGTGAAAAGTCTGGTTCATCTTTGAGTGCAGGTCCTACCGTGGGTACATATGCGCTCTGTGCACCCAGGACTAGAAATTTTTCAGTAGCAGTGTCCATTGCTCTGTGCCCACACCCTTTGCCTCCTTGTGCTCTCGAGCAAGGGCAGAAGGGTGTCCTGGACTGTCCACCCCTCCTGTTCCTTTCTAGCACTCGCAGTCTGGGATGGAACTGTTGTGTCTGTAGCTTCCAGCTTTAGCTCTTCTACCCGTAGCATATTGTAATCAGTTTATTCGTTTTAGTAGATAGTTAGTAGTTTTGCTTAAATCTAGTTGGTGGGGGTTGAGGAGGTCCCCACCTGTTGTTCCCCCACCATATGGGTCATTTAGAATGCTCCAGATCCCAGGCTTCCAGTCCTGCCTGGCCTCCCCTTGGGTCTTCCTGGTGAGTGACCCACACAGAAAGCTGCCTGTATTGCTTCAGGGAATCACACATTCCACTGAAGCACGAGATCTGCTGCTCCTTTTCCCCTCACACTGGCCAGTCTCCGGAGTTTAGACTCCACAGGCATCTAATGGAGCTCTCTGTGAGGTGCCTGTCTGATCTGGGACCCTCCCCCCACTCTTCGTCTCGTTGGCCAGAGCCAGCACCAACACCTTCCATTCTTGAGCTTTGGACAGCTCACAAAGTGTGCAAGAGGTTCCAGCCTTTCATCTGGTCCACTCGTGTCCAAGTCAAGCTGGACAACATGACCACTGTTCATTATATAAACTCAGGGGGAAGAGCGAGGTCTGCCCCACGCCGCAGGGAAGTGATCAAGCTCTGGCATCAAGCTCAGATCATCCTCTCTGCAGTGCACCTACAAGGGGTAATGAACTCCCTCGCAGGCAGCCTCAGCAGATGTTTTCATGGGGATTATGAGTGGGAGCTCCACTCATCAGTGATCCAGTGGATATTTTGTCAGTGGGAATTTCCCTTTCTGGGACCTCTATGCAACCCAAGGAAATGGGAAGTGCCCAGCTTATTGCTTTTGAAATGCTCCGGGGCACAACTTCCTAGTGCAATAGCCAGGCCTCTTGCTGTATGCCTTCCCTCCCATCCCCCTCATGCTTCACAACCTCTGAAAGATCAAGTGGGATAAGGCAACAGGGATTTTAATAGCACCATGGTGGCCGCAACAGGCTATCAACTTGGACCAGAGGGTGGGTAAGCTCAAGGCCCTTATGGCGGACCTGCCTTTTACGATCTTCCACAGAGACAGAATATCCCCGAGATTGTAGCCCGAGCCTATCCCCAAAGTTCCTTCTGACTTTCACTTGAACCTACCTGTAGGACACCCAAGTTTAAATTTTTGGCATAGTGTTATATTAAACTTTGTTTACTAATACCTGCTCTAAATTATAATTTGTACCATTTTTAAATTGAGAGAGAGAGCGAAAATACCCTGGGAGAGCTTTAGGGGTCACAGTATAGCTGTCATTAATCAAACCACTGCTTTTGCTCCATTTCAGCAACACTGACATGGATAGAATAGAAAAAAAACAACTTTCAATGTAAAGCAGTAATGGAAATTTAAAATAGTTTCACACACTTCATCATCCATCCGGTAAGCTGTTTTACAAACAACAAGTCTAAATCTACCTAGCCAGAAAACTCCCCATTCCAAAATGACCACATTTCTAATATTATCCCAGCCAAGAATTTAGTTTTATTTTTATGGGGGCATGAATTGATGTTTGAGGTGAGGATGTTTCGGCTGGAAAACAATTTGTTTAAACAAAACTAGATGTCAGTATTCTCAGTCTGCTATTTTCCTTCTTGAAGTGTTGCGTGTGTTCTAATGGGATCTGATACAACTCTCTTTAAATCATTTTCTTGTTTGTTCTAGAAATCTTGGGAAATCTGGACTAAGAGTTTCATGCCTGGGCCTTGGTAAGTATGTTTAAATTATTATATATAATATTCCGTCTTGACTTCAGTTGGAGTTATGCCCAGTTATACCAGTGCAAAATTTGAACTGACATTTATAAGTGTTCACAGAGTGACTCTTGCATAGGAGTATGAATTCCTGGTTACCTTAAACATTTGGGATGAGCTTCCCCTGACAGGAGGAGGTTGCAACACACTCATTAAGTGTGATGTGTCCCTTCTCTGGTGGCTGGCTCACCAAGATGATGAGCCTAATATAGCTTTCAGTTAATGGAGTTACTCTTGTAGGTCAGGCAGTAGAAATCTGTTCTTTTGGTGCTGAAGGTACAAGGTACAATCTCTGCATATGACTCATGGTGAGCGTGATTACATATAATATAACATATTGGGAGAGATCCTCAGCTGATATAAATTGACTTCAACAGCACCTTAGGATCTGGCACACAATAAATTATGTTACGACTACTAAACTCTTCTATATCATTTTTCATCCATAAGATCTCAAAGTGGAGCTGTACCTATTTATATCCGCCGAGGCTCTAGCCCAATATGTTTTTATATTACATGTAATAGATTTGTAATCACTACCACCATGGGTCATCTTCAGAGACCTCACGAAGGAGTTATCATTAATCCCTTTTACATATGCAGAAACTGAGGCACTGCATTTTTATATATAATGTCTGTGCATATTTGCGCCTTTATTTAGTCTTGCAAAATGTATGTTTAGTTACATTTATATTACACCTGATTTGAAAAATGAAAAAACCCCACAAAGTTGTTAATTAATAAAGAAGTATTATACACATTCTGGTCCTGAAGGTATGGTAATGACAAAGGCTAATTCCCCACTATCTTGAATATTTTATCACTTAAACTAAAATTCTCCAATAAGAACATGTACAATGTTTTAGACTAATGTCTTGAGTCTTGCAAATATTATCTTTGACTTCAGTGAGACCACTCATGGGAATAATGCCAGCAGGATTTCATCCTAATATACTGCCGGGAAAAAAATTAGGATCCAGGTTAGTTAACGAGTTCATATTCATTTTTCTAGCTGCAAGTACAGTTCTGTGGTGAGAAACTGAAGTACTAGATATCTGGAACAAGTGAGGACGACAGCACTGAGAGAGCACATGAGCACGTGCTCAGTTTTTGCTAGAGGTGTGTTGAATGAAGTATTAAATATGATTCCCTAGAAATCCAGCTCAGCTATAATGTTGGTCAAGGGTGAAAAAAGGTGTTAAAATGCAGTAACATGGATGAATGATTTATAACACAATAATGTAGGCGCATAATTTAAGAAAGTGTGTGTGAGAGAGAGAGAGAGCTCTGTATAGCTCCTTCCCATACAATGATTGTCACTCATTACGTTCTTTCCTTTCCCAGGATGCTACCAATATATGTCATAGCAGCATTTCAAACCATATTCCTGAAGTGATGGAATGTATGAATGAAAACCTACTTGTTTGTGTGATCTTCATTTCAACCTTAATTCTGGTATTTAGTAAATTAGAGTGCTTGACCTTGCAACCTTAACATTTTTTTAGCCTGGGTTGTTTGAGGTCTTTTTTGCATGTAATTATTTATATCGTTTCCAACCTGTGCCAGATGCTAGTTACTATCATGGTCTGTGCCCAGAAGGGAATCCTCAGCCCAATCTTCAAAGCCTCTGAGTGGTAATAAAATTACTTCGTGGTCTGTACTGCAACCCCAGAGCTCCAGTAGCTTGTATTCAGATTGTAATCCCCTTGACACAGGAGATCATAGCCAGACAATCTATGTAATTATGGAGCCCCCGTATTTAACTGTATCCAAAACCCTCTCTGTGGCTATGCACACTGAGGCCCTCACAGTGCAGAACTCTGTAGCTAGTTAGAGATTCAGCCTCCCTGCCTGACCTCAAATAAATCCCCCTCCCTGCCTCGCTCCATTTTAGTACACCTCTTTCCATACAGCAGAACCACAACAGTCCTACTGCAGCGAGGGCCCTTTGTGACCTCAGATGAGAGGCCAAGGTGACTGGCCTTTCTATGTCCTGTTGCACTGCTTAGTCTGTTGCATCTCCACTCAAATATCTGTTGTAGCTGCTTGAGTTATACGCTGGATGTTGTGGTGAAGGGGATTAGGCCTGTTTGAGGATTGCTGGGAGAGCCATTGGGAACCAGATTTTCTGTCTTGTGGTAAATTTTGTTATTTAAAAAAAAATCATCTCAGAATGGAATGAAAACAACAAAACAAAACAAAAACAATTAATTTTTTTTTGGCTTGATCAAATTGTTTCATTTAGATTTGGACTTTATTTTCTATTATAAAATGTAAAATGTTTAAAAATTGAAATGAAAAGTAATTCTGAAATGGAAAATCAGCATGTTCCACTTCAGTTTTATCAGAATGCTTAGGTCTGTGTTTTGTAAATGAATTTTCAATGCAATCGACGGCTGTTTTGCTTTGGACACATCAGCATTTTCCAACCCAAAAAATCCCAAACATTCTGTCAGAATATTTCCAACCAATTTAGTCGCTGGATAGACAGTGTGTAGTACATATAACAACCTCTGCACCCTGGTGCTATCACTAAACGAATGCCATTAGGAGAGTTGGTGGCATTCAGTGAACTGTCCTTGGAAATGATGGGTCAACAGGACTAAACAGAACAGTATCAGTTTTGTTGGGCATCTGTGAAAATGCTGATTCTTGCTATGGTGATGTATGGTGTATGCTGCTTATAGAGGCTTTCATTCATTAAAAACATACGGAACTATAGAGACATTTAAATTTAAATAAGCTCTTTTATGAGGACAGCTGCATGGGACAAGTGTTCTGCTTTAGCTAATTTTGGGTTTTGAAAATGAAAAAAAGTGGCTGCCACTCTCGTATTGGACAAGAGGAATGTAAAAAGGGGCCGACTGGGCATGGATCCACAGACCTGGGCGAGTAAGTCAGTCGAGTAAGTGACGATCCATGTAGAGCCCCTGACATGAACTAGGCAGTAAAGAAAGTTTGAAGTTGACTGGGCAATTGTCGTTTGCTCTCAGGTTTGCAGACAGAAGCATTCTCCTGTCCTGTAGCACCTCTTCAGCTTCCATAACAGATAAATCAGATATCTTTGCCATGTCAAGTGTTAATTTAAATGACTTTTCTAAACAGTTTGTGTTGTGCTGGTCTCTAAGAGATAAACTTATTTGCTTAAACTCACAACAGTATCAGAGTCTAGTTTAAGGTTTACTAAAGTTTCCAAAGACCCAGTAATCTGCTCTCACAGTTTCTAAAATCTCACCAAGATAAAAGTATGCTTTATGTTGTACTGTAAAAAAAGAAAAGGAAATAGAGAAAAACACGAGACAGAGCAGAGATAAAAGGAGGGAAACGATAAGGGAAATACATATTCCTTAATTATTCTGTAGTCTCTCTAAAGTCCTGGCTCCCCCACCTCACGCTCTCTCAAATGAATTGTCATGTATCACATGCTGGTAATGAATCAGCAGTGTCTATCTGGGGCCTGAGGCGTTTGGTAACATATATAACAGGTAAACAGCATGATATTTGTGAATAATCTCCATGGTTACTGCTCAAAAAGAGAAACAGTAAATCCATTAATCATCCCACACAAGCTTGGTACATGATCCATGCGTCTCATTCCCTCCACCCCAAGATCCTGAGTCGCTCTTCAGTTGTTTTGGTTGGCATGGAGCACGTATATGTACCACAAAATCCAGTACGTCTATAACTGAGTACCAGAGGAGAATTCTTTCACTGTAAGGGTTAGGGGTTAAAGAGCTCGTATAGTGGAAGAAGTAAGAGAGTCACGGGACTAAGTCTTGTTCAGTATTGGGTTTGGCTGTTGTCTCAGTTTTTTAAATAGATGAATGCAAGGCCCAATTCAAAGCACAAAAAAGGCATGATCGTTGAGGGTGCTTCAAAATCAAGTCTAAAGTGGATGAGCAACCACTCAAAGGCCATTTTGTGTAGCACTTACTTGGGTAAGTAGAATTACTCCCCTATGTCCATTCCACAGTATGCATCCAATGAAGTGAGCTGTAGCTCACGAAAGCTTATGCTCAGATAAATTGGTTAGTCTCTAAGTTGCCACAAGTACTCCTTTTCTTTTTGCGAATACAGACTAACACGGCTGTTACTCTGAAACCAGGTGGAAAAGGTCACCCTTTTGTCGTCGTGAATAGATGTTCAGAGAAAAATGTCACAGTTTCTGACTGTGGAAACTGCCTGTTGGGGTTTTCCTCAAACTTTTCCTAAAACTAACAAGATGACTGTGTTGGAAAGGCAAGCTATTACTTTTAAGAGTGTGTGTGTGTGGTGGGGGGTTTCTCCGGGTCCCGCTAGGAGGCTGTGTAGGGAAGCCTGCATGATCAGGGTCAGTCTCGAATGAGCCAACTTAAAGCAAGATGGGGTGAATTGTGCCTCACTGCCTTAGGGAGCAGCCTCTTTTCGGGTTCTCTGCGTGCTGCTGTCCTGAATTGTAAGAAATGAAGCAAGTTTACGTTGCAACCTTCCAATAAGAGTATTTTAGTTTTTATCTAACTTCCCTTTCTGAGTACTGTGAACATAATGACTAGTCCAGCTTCCAAGGAAAGAAATAACTAGATAAACCTAACCATGTAACCATGGTAAAAAGAGGAATTAATTCAGCTCACCAAACGGTACAACAGAAACCTCTCACCACAGATGTTTCCACAGCCAGAGAGATGTTTTGCCATGGAAGTCTATTCATGATGAGAAAAGGGTGACCTTTTTCTCCTGAAATGATCCCAGGTCACATCTATGATTTTGACTTTGGGTAAGATTTTGCAAATTAAGGTGATACTGGTAAAAATGACATAATTTGACTCTGGGATCAAATTTGCAGTGAAACTATTCAGTTTTGCACGCAAATGCACATAAAGCAAAAACAAGCCCATTTGCTGACCTTCCAGCACCAGTGTGCACTGACCAAATGCCACGGCTGATCCATCTGCAAAATGTGTTTCATGGCATTTACT